TAAGAATCGATCTGTCTGAGGTGGTGACAGAGGGCCCCTGAGTCTCAGGTGAAGGCCCAGGGAAAGACACACCAGTCACCAGCCTTCCCGTTCCCAGCCCCTGGTGCTGGCACGACCCATGGCTCTGAGACCTCAGCCAGGGCCCAGTGAGACCTCAAGTCTCGGGAGGGTCTGGAACTGGGTGGCCATGCCTGCCTGAGGCCCTGCTATTTCAGGGCCCAGGTGACCACCACCCCAAGCGAGGGCTGCTGTCTTTTCACTCAAGGAAATCTCCTTCCTCCTCCCGCCTGAGTTTTCCTCCCAAGGCCCCCATCACAAGCATCATTTTCCGAAGGAGCCTTAGAAATCCCAGCCAGGACGGGCAGGGTCTAGCACAACTTCTGCTGGGGGCCCTGCACAGCCCGCCAAGTCAGAGAGCAGACCCCTGCTTCAAAGAGGAAGAGAAGGGGAGAAATGCAGCCCCCAAAAAACAACCCAAATCCGTATCCCAAATTATGCTCCTGCCCCTCTGTAATCATCAGTGGTGGCAGCACTCTTTGAGGTTACCAAGACTTACTCTATGTTGTGCTAAGGTGGGTGACACGGTGGCCTGGTGGCTATGCAGGGCAAGGCAGGGCCTAGAACTGAGGTTGGGAGTCATGGCCAGAGGGGGATTCTCAGCGGAGGAACAGGCACCTGAGCCTTGGGTGTCTTTCTAAAAGTCCCAAGGCAAGTGGGTGGCCAGCTGGTGGGCTGTGTTCCAGTGTCCTTGAGACATTTATGTTTGGGAACCAATGTAGGGCAAAGGGCTCAAGCCAGGCAGGGTGAGGACCTGGCTGCCGTGTGTCAGCTGTGTGACCTTATCTGAATGTCCTGACCTCTCCTGGGCTCAAATGCTCCTCCTGCCCCAGCCTCCTGAGTAGCTAGGACTGCAGGCAAGCACCACCACACCCAGCTAAAAATTTTTTTTATTGTTTGTAGAGATGGGGTCTTGCTATGTTGCCCAGGCTGGCCTCAAACTCCCGACCTCAAGAGATCCTCTTGTCTTGGTTTCCCAGAGTACTAGGATTACAGCGTGAGCCGCCACACCCAGACTGCGGCTTGAATGTAAACCACCTGCATGCAGTGAAGCCCAAGCTCTCCTCCAATGGCCTCAGAGCTGTCCAGTCTGGGCTGGGCAGACCCTGTAGCGCTCAGCACACAGGAGGTGCCCATGAAGCCCAGAGGACCTTGAGGCAGAGAGCTGGAGTGGTGCACGCTGCGGCAGCCTAGGAAACATAGGCCAGTGCGGCCCAGCCACAGTCGTGGGCCCTTTCTGGGCCTTGGTTTCCTTACTGCCAGTGTGGACCGCAGTTCCTGCCCTCCCTCCACACAGGACGCAGGTGAAATAACAATGGCTAATCCTCATGAAGTGCTTCCCGGGACTCTGTTGTCCCGAGAGCCACCTGTATCTTACCTCATTTAGTCCACACACCAACCCTGCGGGGTAGACACTGTTATTCCACTTTACAGATGAAGAAGCAGAGGCACGGAGGGTTAAATAACTTGCCCAGAGATAGCAACTGTGGCTAAGGCTGGCTTCAGGGTCACTGCTCTGAACCTCCAAGCTGCAGGTGGCAGGATCAGGAACAGATATTTGTGCTCCAGCTTCTTGGGCTGTCAGAACAGGTCCTGGTCACCTCCTAGACACTGGCAGGACCTGCCAGGGCCACAGAGCCTGGTGGTGGCTGGGCTTCCTGGACAGGGGAGCTCTTCTTTGCCTGTCAGAGCAGACTTGAGCAGACTGAACCCCAGGACTCAGGCTATGGGTGGGACTGTGGGAGGAGGAAGAGAGGGGGTCTGTGGCCAGGGCCTCAGCGACAGGACAGACCGTCAGTGGGCAACAACAGCCTCGGCCTCCATTTGCAGTCAAGGGCAGAGCTACGTCCTTAGGGCTGCCTCCCACCCCTGCCAGCACCTGGCAATTGCTCCTAGGGGTGAAGAGCGGCTGCAGCCCTGGGAGGAATGCCTGAGGCCGACGCCACATGGTGAGCCTAGGTGCCTGGCCCAGCTGGCTCCCAGCCCATCCGTTGCAGGAATGGAAAGGGCAGACAGTTGGAAGGGCAAAAAAAGGAAGCAATGTGCCCACAAAGCCTCTGCTGGGCTAAACCCCAGCAAGTCCCCACACGGCCTGCTGCATGGAATGGCAATGACAGCCTATCTAACAGAGGGGAAACTGAGGACTAGGGTAAGGAGTGTGGAGGAAACAGACAATTAAAAGCAAAGGGGACAGCTGAGCAGGGAGTGCTTGCAGCCCTGGAGATACAAAGTTGCACGTGGGCTAAAGACTGAGATGCAGCATTTACTGAGCACCTTTTTTGTGCCGGGCAATGTGCCCTGTCAGTTTCATTTTACAGATAAGCAAACTAAGGTTCAGAAAAGAGGAAGTGGCCAGTCCCTGGTCATGCGGCTGCCTGAGTGAGAGCTGTAAGTTGTACTTTCTCCCCTCCTGGAAGTTTTCGTTTGCTGGGGAAAGCAGATTCATATCAGACTCAAGGCAACTCAGCCGTGATTGAGATAGAAACCGAGTCTTCTGGGAGACAGAGGGAGGGGGAGTGCCAGTGGGAAGGGTTTTGTGAAGGTCACATCTGACTGGGCCTATTTGTACCACTTTAAAAGGCAAGTCAAGGAGAAGGAAGGTGTGGGGACAGAGGGCATGGGGGCAGAGAGGTGAGGGCCATGCTTGGAGAATCGTGAGAATCCCGGGAGGCTGGAGGACTGGTTTTGAGAGTAGTGGGAAGGGAGGGAGGCCAGGCAGTCCCGGGTGGGGTCCCCTGAGGCACAGAGGGCCCTGGGGCTTGGAGCGTGGGGATGGGAAGTGGCTGGGAGGAAGCTGCACAGGGCACAGGGTGCAGGGCTTGGGGAAGCTGGGTGTGGAGCCAGGCACCTGCTGGGCTACTGGGTTCCCCCAGCGGCTCTCAGGGTCTCAGACTCTGTATCAGGCATACCTTGGGTTAAGTCCTGGCTCTGCTGTTGCTAGCTGGGTGGCCTTGGGAAGTTGCTCATCATCTCTGAGACTGGCTTTTCCCTTCTGTAAAGAGAAGATAAGCATAGAACTGCTTTCAGGGGTGGCTGTGGATGGCAGCTGTGAGCACCCAAGGCATTTCACTTAACCCTTCTGACCTAGGAGTTAGGAGCTGTCATCGCCCTCATGTAACGAAGGGCTACCTGGTGACGGATCACGGCTAGGATGCGAAGGTGCAGACATTTTGGCCTCCCATGGGATAATTTAGATGGGCCACATGGGCTCCAGGGATGGCTAAGACTCGTTTGGACCTGCGTCGCTGTTCAACTTCTCTCTGCCAAATCCTGCTTCCTCCCTATCTCTTCCCCAGGTGTTGACGTTTCTAGTAAATGTCCTGTCCATGTCAAAGTTTGTCTGAAGATGTGCTCCAGGACCACCCCACCTGCAACAGGGCCCATTTATGTTGCAGCCAGCATGGCAATCCTGAGTCTGGGACGGTGCCCACAGACTGCTTCTGTGAGCTGCAAGCCTTCAGTGGCCAGTCCCCAAGCCCCCAGCTCCACTCGGAGAAAGGACCAGCTAACCCACGGAGAAGAGGAACCGTCTGCATGGAGAGCCAGGAAAGGTCCTTTGGAGCCAGACACACTGGGCTCTGTGGGGGGCGGGATGGCTGGCCCCAAAAGAATAAGTCCATGTCCTAAGCCCCAGAACCCATAAATATTGCCTTGTTTGGAAAGAAATTCTTTGTAGATGTCATTAGAGATTTGAGATGAAGAGATCATCCTGTACTAGTCATGTGTGCCCTAAATCCAGTGGCAAGTGTCTGTACAAGAATAAGGCAGGGCTGGGTGCAGTGGCCCACAGAAGGTGATTTTTATCCCAGCACTGTGGAAGGCCAAGGCAGGAGGACTGCTTGAGCCCAGGAGTTCAAGACCGGCCTGGACAACAGAGTGAGACCCCATCTCTATACAAAAATACAAAAAATTAGCCAGACGTGGTGGCACATGCCTATAGTCCTAGCTACTCAGGAGGGGGAAGTGGGAGGATGACTTGAATCCGGGAGGCAGAGGTTACAGTGGCTCACTGCCACTGCATGGCAGCCTGGGCAACGGAGCAAGACCCTGTCTCAAAAAAAATTAAAAAGGGAGTGAGGCCGAAGGAGAGAGACACACCTAGAGAAGAAGGCAATGTAAAGACGCAGAAATGGGAGTGACGTGGCCACCACAGCCAGGGAAGCCGAAGAGGCAGGACAAGAACCTCCCTCAGCGCCTCCAGAGGGAGCACCGCGCTGCGCACACCTTGTTTCTGCTCCAGACCTGCCACGCTGAGAGAAAGGAATTCTGCTGCTTTTGAGGCCACTCTGTCTGAAAGAATTTGTGACAGCAGTCACAGGAAACTAAGGTCTCACATCCATTTTCCACGCCACCCCCTTGAGAAGCTGGGGCAAGCAGTTCTGGAGGTCCTAGTGACTGGACACTGAGCCGGCGCGGGCGGGGTCGGGGCGAGAGGAGAGCTCTCTAGAGAAGTCTCCTTGCACTTGGATTTTGACCTCTGACCTTGAGTAGGAAGTGTTCATGGGTGGCGGTGGGGTGCGCATAATATTCAACAGCCCAGAGAATTGAACATCATGGTGCTTTCTAGAAATTTTGACTTGCAGATGTGGCGGGAATGGGAGGTACCTAGAAGGGAGAGGAGGAGACGCCACTCAACAGGAGGACAGGGCCCGGTCGCAGAGGCCACTGCGTGCCTGTGCGAGGCTTGCTCTGATGTGAGATTTTGTTTAACTTTATATTCTAGAACAGATTTAAAGTTTCAGAAGATAATGCCAAGTTTGTATAGAGTATCTGTACATGATTTCCCCTAATATTAACATCTTACTTGAGTGTGGGTATATTCCTTACAATGATTGAACCCACACCAGGCTGTTCGCATTAACTGAAGTCTGCGCTTGATTCAGATCTCCTTTGTTTTTGCCTGAATGTCCCTCTGGGGCCGGGACCCCGTCGAGGACCCCACATTGCGTTCGGTCAGCCTGTCTCCCTAGGCTCCTACTGGCTGTGACAGTTTCTCAGACTTTCCTTGTCTTTGATGACCTTGACAGTTTTGAGGAGACTGTCCCTCAGTTTGAATTTGTCCCATGCTTTTCTCATGACTAGACTGCGGTTATGGGTTTTGGGGAGGAAGACCACAGAAGCAAATGGTGATTTTTATGCCATCGTAACAAAGGTGTGCACTGTCACCGAGACCTACCCCTGTTGCCACTGACCTTGGTCACCTGGCTGAGGTGATGTTGTCAGGCTTCTCCCTTGTAACCCTCAAGTTACTCTTTTCCCTCCCTTTCCACGCCGCATTCTTTGGAAGAAGGTCACTATGCAGAGCCCACGCTGAAGGGTGAAAGTTATGCTCCAACTCCTAGAGGCGTGAGGGGTTTTAAGCAGGACATTTGCATGATCAGACTATCTTCTTAAAACCCAGTGTTGACAAAGATGTGGGGAAATAGACACCCTTCTATATTCTGTTGGTGCAAGTGTAGATTGGAGCAGGGTTTTAGGGGGACAATTTGACAAATCCTTCAAATGCTATGTGCATATACCCTTTGACCCAGCAAGTCAACCCTGCAGGAATGTCCACAGGCAGAGTGTTACCTGGACAGAATTCCAGTGGCGGCACTGTTGGTAGCCAACCAAAGTCTGAAAACAACTGAATCCTCATTCATAGGGCAATGGATGGGCAAACTGGTAGATCGGTATCACGAAATACTAGGCAGCCATCGAAAAGGAGTTAAATCTACGTGTCTGGACATGTGAAGTTCTCCAAGATAGGTTACAAGCGAAAACGTTGTCACAAGGTTGTTATATGTGTGATCCAAATCCACTGCATGAATAAAAGAGATGCACATTGATATGGAAGGTGCATGGCGGGACCCACAAGGAGCCAGAACCTGGTGGCTTTGAGGAGAGGGACCCTGGGAGTAAGGATGGGGAATGGGGAGGGCATTTCTACTTCTCATTTTATACCTGTCTGTAGTGTTTGACATTTTGCTCAATAAGCAAGTATTGCTTTCATGATAAAATGTATTTAATATTAAAAATATTTCTTTGAAGAGTTGCATTTGAAGGAACCCCCCACGGCTGCTTGTGAAGGGTGAGGCGGGGGATCCAGGGTGGAGTGGAGAGACCCGGTAGGAGATCCAGGGTGATTAGATGGCACCTGTGGAGACAGGAGAAGGTAGGCTGGGGGTCACCTAGCAGGGAGAATCGAGAGGACTGGGTATTTCTTGGTGAGGGTGGGTGGGGGGAGAAGGTGTTTCCCGCAGGGCCCTGGCAGGAAGCAGATGGTGCACTCCAGCTGGGGATGGAGGAGAATAACCAAGGTACTGCTGACCAAAGCCGGGACATGTTAAGGGAAACTAACAAGGGATGGCACAGCACCTGGGCTGGTCACGTGTGGGAGATGCCACCACCCCCAGGCAGAGGTAGGGCAAGGCCGCCAGAACTAGACAGGGTGGTTGTGGGAGAAGGTGCTTGACAGGAGGGACCAGCCTACCCATGGCCTGGAAGGAGGGGGCCTGGAGCAGACACCCCAACCTCACTCCTGCCTCCCTATCTCCTCTTGGAGATGGTACCTCCCGTTGGCCAAACCCAGCTGGAAACCACAGAGCTTGCCCATGCAGGGCAGCCTCCTGGGTGAAAGCTGGTTAGGGAAGAGTAGAGGAGACCCAGTACCCAGAGGGAGGGGTGTAGGTGCATGTCCAGATTCCTGGCTTTGGTGCTGAGGGATGGAGGGCGCCTTGGAGATGGGGGCAGAAGGAGAAGCAGGTTTGCAGGAGGATGACGAGTACCACTGGGGTCTGCGTCAGGTGGAGGAGGCTGCGTGCTTCACAAACAGCCCTGCAACCTGGTGGTGATGGGGGGGAGCGGTTTCAGATATTGGGCTGGAGCTTAGATTCCAGTTGGGCTAGTTTCTCATGGCAGACCCTTTTCCTATGGGGACCCTTTGCGTTCACCCACCCCGCTTCTACCTGCTCGGGCACACAGGCCTCTGTCTGAGTGTAGAATGGGCCCTAGATGGCTTTTGTTGGGGGCACACATCAGGGCCTGGGCATCCCCTAGTTCTTCAGGGTTTCCAGGGTCACTGCTCTGGGACCTGTGGCCCTGTAAGGCAGCCTAGGGACACAGGGTCTCTGGCTGGGTGAAGCAGAGGGGAGGGGGCATCCTACTAAAGCTTGCTGAGACTAGTCTCAGGACGACAGGGCCTTGGGCCACGGCATTGTACCCAGGCAGGGGCAGACCATGAAACAGCTTGGTTTTCTGTGAAAGGGCAGCTATGAGCTAGGCAGGGGGAGGGGCACTGTCCCACCGCCCTGTAGGGGACTGGAGTTCCTTCACGGTGGCGACCAGCTCCTCAGAGGTACGAAGACCCCAGAATGATGGAAATAGGGTGTTTGCAGGGAGAACAAGGAACCCATTGGCACCCTCAGCACATTCCATAGGATTCTATAATCAGATTCGCTCTCAGCAGGGCCCAGGAGAGACGGGACAATGGGCGGGGCAGAAAAGGAGCCAGGAACTGCCTCAGTGCTGAACTCGCCTATTCTTCCCTCCCCTACCCCATTCCAGTGCTTTTAAACCTCTCCATCTGATTGGCCCTCACTGATCCTCAGGGGAAGCAGCCTCTCAGAGGAATGGGACTGGTCCAGGGTCATACTCACTTGTCCAGGACTTACTCCTGACCCCAAATTCTGCCCTTTCTTTGTGGGAGGCTATTTTCCCAACCCCCTTTGGTGACAGGCTCACCCCGACTCCCTGCAAGGCTGGTACATAATTTATGAGATCCAGCGTAAGATGAAAATGTAGAGCTCCCTGTTAAAAAATTATTAAGCATTTCAGGGTGATGCCTGCAGAGTACTAAACCATTCTAAACGCAGAGCCCCGTGCAGCGGCACAGATCTCCAGCCCTGGCAGCCAGCCCTGCCCTCAGTACTGCCTAGTGCTAGCCTCCTCCTTCCTCCACCCCCTGGCCCCAGTCAACCCCGAGAACCCAGCACTCCACCCTCCTAGGCTCCAGGTTAGGCCAGGGGCTCCTGGGTGTCCTACAGACCCTGGGTGTCCCTAGATGGTACTGGGGAGCATCATCTCTGGCAGTCTGCGGGCTTCTTGAGGAACTCCCCCAGAGTCTGCAGCACCCAGCACAGGCCTGTGGATATTTTGTAAGTGACAGAGCACATGTCTTCCGGCTAGGACATTTAGGGCAGCTCGGAAGCCCATCCCACCCTGACTCCCTGGGCACAAGCAGGGGAAGCTCCCAGACTCGGCACTTCCTTCTGGGTTCACCCAGGTCCAATCAGGACCCACAGCCAGGTCTCCCTAGTTTCTGGTTCCCCATGCCAGGGTGAAATGGCCCCTCCCTTTCTTGGAAAAAAAGTGAGGACTAAGGCAGATTTAGTCAGTAAGGAGATTTCTCAGAAAGCAGCTGTAAAGTTCCGTGACAGGGTGAGAATTAGTAGATTAATATCCGACGCCAGGCTCGGGGCTTGGGGCTCTGGGCTCTGAGCTCTCTAAATTTCTCCTTCCAGTCAAAAGGAGTTGTACTTCTGGAACAGATAATTGATACCATTCCCATTGTACAGATGAGAAACTACAGCTCAGAGAGGTCAAAATGCTTTAAGTTGGCTGATGTGCAATTTAAACCTAGTTCTGGCCCAACCTGCCTCCCAGGTCCCTGGGCTGAGTCAGGCCCTGTCCCCGCCCTCATGGCCCTCACTAGTAACTGAGACATACACAGAGTAAGATACACAGGGAACTCAGTGGAGGTGGAGGTCATTGTGAGTAGGGCAGTCAGGGGAGACTTCCTAGAGGAGGTGGAGGAGAGAAGCACCTGAGCTGTCTTTGAAGGTCAAACATTATTCTCTTCAGGGTACCTGTGGCAGGTAAGCAGAACAGCCTGAGCAAAGGGGTAGAGGATGGCTGGACATGGAGGGTCTGGGATCTCCATACAGGGCCTAGGAGTCCAGAGGTCCTGGCAGGAGTCCCTGAGTGGACAGCAACCAGGCTGAAGCACTTGGCCTTGGTCCTCTGGGCCAGAGAACTCTGGATGGGGGCAGGCTGGACATTCTGGGGCAGCTGTGAGAAGGATGGGGTTCCATTCTGGGCTGCAAGGAGCAGGGGGTAGCTCAACTATAGAAAGGCCAGGGGGTCAGACCTGGGTGGTTCAGAAGCAGCAGAAGGAGATAGTCAAGGACTGTTTCATAGAGTTTTCCCTGCTTACTAACTCCTGGACCTTGGATCAAGGATCTGCAGAAATCTCAGTGCCAGCAGGCAGCCTCCGACTGCACAGGGTGACAGCGGGCTCAGAAGCCCAAGGGTCTGCCATCACTTGTTCAGGTGCTTACATTGCCCAGGTCCCAGGAGAGAGTTACAGGAGAGAAGACAGTGATGATCAAGCTCCCAGAAACACTCCTTTGATAGATGGGAACACTGAGGCTGGCAGCGGGAAAGGACTTACCCCAGACTATACCCCAGCCAATAAAAGGCGTGGCCAGCTGAGAACATTGGTCCAGGATGGGTCTTTTTATTCTTTTTGAAAAGAGAAGCAAACATTGGTGAGAATGCACGTGTCAGGGGCCACTGGAGCAAGCATTATGGTTTGTTTTGACTGTGTAAGATGACATCAAGCTCAGAGACTAAGTTCCCTGTCCAAGGGCCCACAGCTGAAAAGCAGGCAGGTGATTCTTTGCCAAGTCTGTTTTCTCATCTGTGTAAGGTGGGATCAGGCTGGGAGAGGCTCATAAGGAGCAAAAGAAGGGCTTGGGAACCTCTCCACTGTTGTCCAGGAGACTGGCTCCTGGCAACCAAGGTTAGATCTAGAGGCTTGATTGTATGGTGAATTATTCAGATAGTACTGTGAATTTCCATCAGGAGGAATTAAATGTCTGGTTGTCCTCATTTTGTGATATTAGCTGTTATTGAAGAACATTGACTAGATCAATTTTCTCATTATTGCACTAGGGCTTGCAAAATGAAGATATTCTGATATTCCTTTACCATTTGTTACCTAGAATATCTCTATCAAGGGAAATTTCTCTTTATCAACTATTAGTTTACCATGAGGCATAGTCACTGCAGGTGTTACAGTCTAAACAAGTATGTGACTGACAGAATTAAATTTATCTTTTTCTGAAAGAAAATCTCAAAGGACCAAATAGCATAAAATAAACGAAGAAAATTGTTAAGCAGATATTCCCCCAAACCACTATACTTTAAAGAGTCACAGGCAAATCGTTAAAGCCTTTTAGAAATGTATGTCTTGAATGCTATGTAAATGGTTCCAGAGCATAGAGGAAGAAGAGCTTCCAGTTATTTTCATGAAAACTATTTAACATTGACAGCAAAACACAAGAAAGCACAGAATAGAACACAATAAGTCAGCTCACATTAATATTGAAGGTGCAAGCATCCTAAGTAAAAAAATTGTTTTAGGAATATACTTTAAAATATAGGCATACATTAAGGAAATAACTTACTGCTGTAACAAACCTTTGGAGTTTATACCAGAAATGCAAGGATGGTTCAGTTTTAGAAAATCAACAAATTTAGGTTAATATCAATAATGTAATATTAATATAAATGTCATATAAATATAGTACATCAAAAGAGGGAAAAATCATGCTATTTTCTGTATAGATATCGAAAACGCATTTGATAAAATTCAACATCCATTCCTGATTTTTAAAAACTTCTTGATAAAATAGAAATAGGTAGATATTTCCTTAATAAGACAATATCAAAGCAAATGCCATCTATTTGCATAATGATGAACAATTTGAAGCATTGCCAACAAATTTGTCAGCAAGAAAAGGATGTCTCCTTTCAACAGTCTTATTTAACATTACTTTGGAGATATTAGCCACTATAATTTCACACACACAAAAAAATAGAGATATAAGTATTGGGAAGAAATAAAGAGACAAAAGTGCTGTGTTATTTGCATATGATATGATTATACACTTGAAAAACTTTAAAGAACTATTACAAATAAGGTGACTTGGTACAATAAATGGGTAAAAATTAAAATATAAAAATTAATAGCTTTCTTATATGACAATGAGTTAGAAAAGATAAAGAAAAGATTCCATCTACAAAAGTAGCAAAAATTATAAAATATCTTGCAACATGTTTAATAAGAAACATGCAAGATCTGTATGAAAAACGTTTTAATGCCACTGGATACCTAAAACACAATAAGAATAAATGGAAAATGATGTCCTGTTCTTGAAAAGGAAGAGGGTATTTTAACAAAATCAATTCCTTAAATTAATGTATACATTTAGAATGATTCCAATAAAAATAAAAATAGAGTTTTTCCTCAATATATATATAACGGCTAAAATATGGTAGATATTTAGTTTTAGCTTATGTGAAGTTCAAAATAGATATTCCTGATTGGCAGTTTTTCTCTCTCCCTTTCTTTCTCTCTCTCCCTTTCCCTCTTTACTTCCCCTCTCCCATTCAGATTTCTTCAACCTTGTGTCTCTGTTATTTTCAACACATCATTTCCAAGGTGACTAGGCTCACATCTGCCTCCAGTTGGTAGAGGAACATGAATGACCAAACATTGAAGGATTTTAGGGACCAGTCCTAGAAGTGATACACATCACTTCCACTCACATTTCATTGGCTAGAATTCAATCAATCATATGACCACATTTAATTATAAGAAAGGCTAGGATAGGTAGTCTATCTGGTTGCTTGAGAAATAGAGGAACTGAGTTGAAGCACTTTTGTCATGGGAAAATTGACACATTCTAAAGTTTACATGAAAAACATTCAGGAATAGCTGGGGAACATTATAAACAATTTTATGCAAATTTTGACAACTTAGATAAAATGGACAAGTTCCTTAAAAATGCAACTCTAGCAAAACTGACAAAAGAAGAAACAGAGAACCCAAATAGCCCCATTCTATGAAAGAAATAAAATTTACAATAAAAATTCTTCCCACAAAGAAAACTCCAGGTCCAAATGGTCTTTGCTGGTGAATTCTACCAAACATTTAAGGAAGGAAGAAATAATACTAATTCTACACCAACAATTTCAGAAAACAGAGCTTTTAAAAATCAGCACTGAATGCCAATTTTTGTCATCTATAGAGAAAATAATACGAACACTTCCTGACTCATTTTAGGAGACCAGTATAATACTGATATAAAAAACCAGTAAAGATATTACAAGAAAAGTAAATGCAGACAAATATTCCTCATGAAATTCAGGAGTTCGAGACCAGCCTGACCAACATGGAGAAACCCCGTCTTACTAGAAACACAAAAATTAGCCTGGTGTGGTGGTGCATGCCTATAATCCCAGCTACTCAGGAGGCTGAGGCAGGAGAATTGCTTGAACCCGGGAGGCGGAGGTTGCAGTGAGCTGAAATCACGCCATTGCACTCCAGCCTGAGCAACAAGAGCAAAATTCTGTCTAAAAAAAAAAAATTCCTCATGAATACAGATGTGAAAACTCTTAACCAAATATTAGCAAATTGAATCCAGCAATATATTAAAGGAACAATATGTCATAACAAGTGAGGTTTGTTTCAGAAGTGCAAGCATTCGGAAATAAATGTAATTCACCATATTAAAAAAAATAAAGGAGAAAATCCACAGGATTATTTCTACAGATGCAGAAAAATAATTTGAGAAAATTCTAAATCTATTCGTTATAAAAAACTGTTGGCAAACTAAAAGTAGATGGCAAATTACTTGAACTGATAAAGGCCATCTACAAAAAATCTGCAGCTAACATCATGCTTAATGGTGAAACATTTAATCTCTTTTTCCTAAGTTCAGCAATCAGGCAAGAATGTCTACTCTCACCATGTCTATTTGACATTGAGCTGAAAGTTTTAGTGCATTAAAATAAGAATAATAAAAGGGACCAAGAATGGTGGTTCACGCCTATAATCCCAGCAGTTTGGGAGGCCAAGGCAGGAGGATCACTTGAGGCCTGGAGTTCAAGACCAACCTGGGCAACACAGACCTTGTTTCTGTACAAACACGTGCACGCACACACACACACACACACACACACTAGCCTGGCTTATAATAATTTGTTACTTGAAAGGCTGAGGGGGGAGGATCACTTGAGCCAAGGAGGTTGAGGTTGTAGTGAGCCAGGATCATGCCACGGCACAGTAGCCTGGATGACAGAGGGTGGCAGACCGAGACCCTGCCTCAAAAAAAACAGAAATAAAAGACACAAACATCAAAAAGGAATGAATTAAAATGTGGAATTTGTAGATGACATATTGTTTAATCAGAAAACTCTGTGGAATTTATGAAAATTACTAGAACTAGTAAGCAAATTTAGCAAGTTTGCAGGTTATGAAGTGAGTTTATAAAAATCAATTTTATTTCCATATACTAGGGAAAAACAATTGAAACGAAAATTTAAAATATCATTTCATTGTCATCAGAAAACATCAACTACCAGAAACAGCAAATAAAGTATGTGTAAACATGTGTCTAAAAATATGGCCAAGAGAGGACTTGATATGGTTAGGTGTCCATTCTCCCCAAAATGACGCGTAGATTCAACACAATCCCTATTATAGTGAGAGTAGGCCCTTTTAAAGAAGTAGCTGATTTGAAATTTTATGTGAGAATTTAATCGTCCAGCATAGCTAAAACAATCTTGAAAATGAAGAACAAGTTTAAAGAACTAACTCTGTCTGACTTAACAACTTACTGTAAAGCAACAGCAATCAAGACAATGAGACACTGATGTAAGTATACACAAATAGAACAAAGGAACAGAACATAAAATTCAGAAACAGATCTTATTTATATGGTTAAGTTTCAACTGAGGGACCAAAACAATTCACTGGAAAAGGAACTTCTTTTTGAACAAATGGTGCTGGAACAACTGAATATCGCTATGGGAAAACGTTAAACAAAGTCCTTATCTCACTCCAAACACAGACATTAATTTGATGTGAATCATAGACGTAAATGAAAAGCCATAATCACAGTTTCTAGAAAAAAAATAGGAGAATGCATTTGGGGCACTGAGGTAAGCAAAGATTTCTTAGAGGTCAGGATATAAAATAACCATAAAAGAAAACAATTGATAAACTTTGAAATTAGATACTTTTCCAATCAAAAGACATAATTGAAAAAATGACTTTGGGACACCAAGGCAGTATTATTGCTTGAGCCTGGGAGTTCAAGACCAGCCTGAGCAACATAGTGAGACCTCCATCTCTACAAAAAAGAAAATTAGTGGGGTGTGGTGGCATGTGTCTGTGGTCTCAGCTACTCAGGAGGCTGAGGTAGGAGGATTGCTTAAGCCCAGGAGCTTGAAGCTGCAGTGAATCACCATCATACCACTGCCTTCCAGCCTGGGTGATCCTATCTCAAAAGAGAAAGAGAGAGAGAGAGGAGAGAGAGAGACAGAGAGAGAGAGAGAGAGAGAGAGAATGAATAGGTGAGCTACAGTTTGGTAGAAAATATTCACAAAACGTAAATAGGTGTGCATCTGTGTGTGTGTGTGTGTGTGTGTGTGTGTGTGTGTGTGAGACAAAGGACTGGTATCCAGGATATCAAGTACTCCTGCAACTCAATAATTTAAAAAATAAACAACCTAACTTTTAATTTAGGCCAAAGGTTTTAACAGACACTTCACAAAAGTTATGCAAATGGACAATAAGCAAATGAAGAAATACTCAACACCATCAGTCATCATGTAAATATAAATTAAATCACAATAAGATGCAACCACCCAACTACCAGAAAATTGAAAAATTAACAACATCACAAATACAGCACAGGTTGTGGATCAGTTGGAATTCTTATATACTGTTGGTGGAAATATAAAATGGTACAACTATTTTTTTTTAAGCCTGATAGCTTCTTACGTGACTAACACACACCTACCCTCCTACCTAGCAGTTCCACCAAGAGAAATGAAAAAAATATCTTCACAAAAAGATTTGTACAAGAATGTTCATAATGGCTTTGTTCATAGTTGTCCAAAATTGGAAGCAGTCCAGGTATCTGTTGATAGGAGTCTGGCTAAAGAGAGTGTGGATTATGCACATAATGGAACATCATGCAGCAATCAGAAGGAGGAAACTGTGGCTTCACAGAACAACCTGGATGAAATTTTAGAACAAGCAAAACAAATCTGTGATGGAAAACCTCAGCTGTTGTGTCTAGGATGATGGGAGTGGAGACTGACCAGGAGGGAGCATGAGGGAATCTTCTGGAATGATGGAAATGGTCTATATCTTATTTTGAATAGTTACATGTGTATACAATTGTCAAAACTTGCCAAACCAAATACCTGAAGATCTATGCATTTTATTATATCTAAATTAGACCACAATAAAAACTAAAAGAATAGCTAGGAAGATGACACAAGAAATAAAGGATCCAGAATTAGATACAAAACCCTACGAGAATGTAGTTTTTCTAATAAGTGGGTAAAAATGGATCATTTAATAATGATACTTGGGTAACTGGAAAAAAGTAGGTTGAAACCGTGTATCACTTCTTACACCAACATTTATTTTGGATGGATCAAAGACTGAAAGATAAATAAATGAAACCATGAAAGTACTGAAGAAAACATATTTCATTCTTTTGTTGTTCTTTGTTTGGAAAGGCGAAGACCTTTCTCAAAATAATTCAAACCCAGAAGCTGTAAAAAAAAGAAAAAAAGATAAATATGATCACACTAAAATTAAAATTAACCACATCTGATTGGGGGAAAATACCATAAATAAAATGGAAAGAAAATGAATAAACTATTATGTAAAGAGAGACCTTTTTTTTTTTTTAAGATTAATAACCCAAGGAAAAAATGGGCACAGGACATGGACAGATGGCTCACAGAAAGTATATGCAAATGGCTTCCAAATACATGAAAAGATGTCCCCCTGAATCACAGTAAGAGAAATGCTAATGAAAATGACATGAAGTTTCCATTTTCCCCAGCTAGATAATACAGATAAAAATTTTTGATAATATCCTGTGTTGGTAAGAGCAGAGGGCAGTAAGCTCTCTCCTGCTTTGTTAATGGGAATATAAATTGATAACTCTTGGGAGGACAATCTGGCGATATCTATCAAATACAAAATTGCACTCACCCTGTGACCCAGGCATTCAGCTTCCAGGAATTAATTCAACAGATACACTTCCACATGTCCAGAAAGATGAATGACAGAGATATCTATTGCAGCCCTGTTCACAGTGGCAAATAATAGCCATCAGGAGGATGCTGGTTAAATAAATGACTGTCTTGATATAATGGAATTCCTTGAGGTTGCTTCAAGTACACCGAAGCAGTTTCATGTGGTCCCTCAGAACACAGACTCTGCAGCTAGGATGGCTGGCTCCCCAGCTCTGCCATTTACTGATTGTGTGACCTAGAGCCAGTTCCTTCACTTAATCTCTCTGTGCCTCAGTTTCTGCTATCTCTAAAATGGGACTAGTAAGAATAACACTGATAATAAAAATAACAGCAGAAACAGCAGTAATAACGTTAACGCCACCTGCCTCAAAGCTGTGCTGAAAATTAAATACGCAAATTACATAAAGCGTTTAAATCGGCGCCCGGTGTATGCTAAGTACCGTGTGTGTAGGCTAGAATTGTTGCTGATCTAAAACAATTTCCAAAATGCATCAAGGACAAAAAAGCAAGACAGGGTTCCAGTGATAGAAACTGTTCAGGATAGTCCTACATACTTATGCTTGTATAGGCATGAAATAGCTCTAGAAGGGTACATGGTAGAACAAGCAAAACAAGTCTGGGATGAAAAATTTCAGTTGTTGCCTCTAGGATGATGGGAGTGGAGACTGACCAGGAGGAAACATGAGGGAATCTTCTGGAATGATGGAAATGTTCTATGTCTTCTTTTGAATAGTTACACATGTATACAATTGTCAAAACTAAAAACTACAAATTGCCTCTGAGGAGTAACCAGCAGTGGGAGACACAGTTCCTACTGAGTAACTTTTATACTTTTACATAATTTTTTTCACAAAGTATGTATCTTATCTCTGCCAACATTGCAATATTAAAAAAGACATATTTTGAAAAGAAAATCCCCTGGGGTGATGGAGCTGTTCTGTGCTCTGATTAAGGTGGTGGTTACATACGTTTGTACATGAGTTAGAATTCATAGGATTGTACATCAAAAGAAAAAGGTAAATTTTACTACATAATTTTTTTAAAGTGAAAAAAGAGAAAGTCCCTTTGGCCTCAATACATAATGTAGCACAAGCCTTGGGGATGGGATGCCAACGACGAAGGGACTGAGTTTTGTGGAGGAAGAAAGTCTTGGAGCCGGGGAAGGAACCGCGGCAGTGGGAGCAGAGAGGGTTTGGGGCTGTGCGGGGAGACGCCTGGGCTTCATTCTTCTGTGAAACATGCACCGTCCGCCAGGCACTGTCCGTGTGCTCTCTCCTCATCACAACCCCGAGATTCACAACCCCGAGAACAGCAGCTGCCGCCATTCCCACTCTGCGTGAGGTTCAGATGACTGGCCTGGTGTGTGAGCAGCAGCTTGTCTGACTCTAAAACCTTGGTTCTTTTAAGCACACGAAGTTCCTTTTCCCCCAGTAAATTAGATCCAGGGGAGTCTGGGAAGGCTTCACAGAGGAGGTGACACTGAACTAAAGCCTTGCTGAGTTTACCTAGGACTTTGGTCCTGCGCAGTCCTAAGCAGTGCCTTTCACAACGTGTTCTCTGTGACTGGCTCCCCCTGTAGTTGTGCCGTGTACAGCCTGCCCAGTCATGGCCAGTAACTCCGAGACCCTCACACAGAGATGCAGAAGGCGTCTCAGGAAGATTTTGCTGTATGACAAATCACTTCTCAAATGCGTTGTCTGTTTAAAACAATAAGCATTTACAGGCCAGCAGGGCAGTTCTTTTGATCTCAGCAGGCTTCTTTCCTCTACCTGAGCCAAAAGGTGGGTCTGCTGTAGGGTGATCAACCATCCTGGTTTTCCTGGGACTGTCCCAGTGATAGGCCCGAAAGACCCATGTCCCACGAGCAACCTTAATCCTGGGCAGACTGTGACAATTTGGTGACCCTGGTTGACTGGGGGCTCTCAGGCTGGGGTGGGCCTGGGCTTTGGTGGCTGAGGCCCCCCTCTATGGGGTCTCTCATTCTCCAGCAGCCAAGCCCAGTCATTCTTATGGCAGCAGTGATGGGCCAGGACAGTGAAAAGAAGCAAGCAGGGTCTCTTACAGCTGAGGCTCAGAACGAGCCTGTCATCACTACTGCCGCATTCCGTTGGTCAAAGCAAGTCATAAGGCCAGCCTAGATGGAGGGGTAGGAAAATAGCATACCCACCACCCACTTGATGGGAGGAACTGTGAAGTCACACTGCAAGGGGCACAGATAGGGGAGGAGGGTGGAGACCTGGGTCCAAGTGTGTAATCAGCCTGTCACGGAAGGGATGTCCTGACTCAGGTGCAGCAATAAACACAGTGACATCACAACTGCCCAGTGGAACCATAAATGCGTATTGTTTTAAACCAACAGATACAATTGGGAGGCGGTTTATTACACAACAAAATCCAATTGACGCACCCGCCCCTAACTCCTGTGACATATTTGGGGAGTGGCAGGAATTTCACTGAGGCTGGAGCATGGTGGGACTGTCAAAGGGTGAAGAGAGAGACAGAGCGCATGCGAGAAGAATGGCTGGGGCCAGTGTTTTCTCCTAGACTGGCAGGACGAGACTAGGAGAAGGGCCATTATTCCTTTACACAGGCGGGAAACACTGAGCCCAGAGAGGGCAGTCATGCGCTTAGGACCACACAGCAAATCAGCACAGGCAGGGATTGGAGCCACGACTTTCCCTGCTAGGCTAAGGGAGGTATGGGAGGAAGAGGAGGCTTGAAGGTACTTTTGCAGTTTCTTTACCCAGGACCAAGAGGCCACCAGCTATTTGTAAAGAAGTGGGGGTGAGGCGTGCTATTAGAGAAGGGGGGTATTGAAATCACTGGAACTCCCCAGAGCACCTGTGCTCCTGCAAGCCTGTGTTTATTTATTTCTTCAATTTGAATGATTCTTTTCTTCAAAAATTCCCTGGGGCTCCCTCTGTATTATTAGGTAGCAAATGGGGTGGTGGTGGGGGGGGGTGGGGGAAGCAGCCGGCAGCCTTGACCAGGGTTCTCTTGCCTCCTGGGGAGGCCCCTCAGGCCAGTTCCACGGCGAGGTCCTCCCTGCAGTGTTCTGACCAAATCGGCCCCGGCAGTCCCTTTGGACTAGTCACTTCTTTCCTAGGACCTTGGGCTCCTCCTCTGTACCTTGAAGGGGTGACAAGGTGAGACTCGGTGTGTGTGGTAGGGTTAGAGTCACCAAGGAGTGTCCTGGTTTGAGGAAACTGTGGTGGCCGGACCTGTGCGGGGGACATTACTGCCCCCAAAGTGGCTGAGAGGGAGTTGGTAGAGTGTAGCACACCACCAGTGATCATGAGGAGGCAGGAGGGGCTCTGTCCTCTGTTAGGAAGGCCACATGGTATTCTGTTTGACCAGCAGTTCCTACTGTGTGCCCAGGGCTTACACATACCCTTCATTGCTATATTGGCCCATGGCCGCTTCCCTGCACTCCTGGGGGGAACCACCGGCTGCCCCAGTGGACAGATAAGGACACCAAGGATCAGGAGGAGAAGTGGCGCGTCCCGCAGCACACAGTAGGTAGGACACACAGCAACTGACTCTGGCTTCCAGGTTCCTCCCACAGATCTGCAGAGCGTCTGTCCCCCGTTCCGGCCCCACGTGCCAGGACTGGGTCCTCTTGGCTGGCCCTGCAGCTGCGTTCTGCCTCTGCAGTGTGGACTGACGCCTCACAGGAGCTCCCTGGCCTCTGGCCTCTGGTGGGTTCTTTCAGCAGGAAGGAGCCTCAGGAGCTCTGGGGGTGGGCGGAGAAAGAGGCTGGCGGGTTCACTCCGGGCCCCCTGCTGAGCCAGTGGTGTTCCTGTGCTGAAGGCCACCGGCCCTCTCCCACCGCTTCGGCCCTCACAGGCTCCAGGACTGCTGCCTGTCTTGGCCTGTGGGTCCAGGGATGGCCACTGCTCCCCACTGTTGCTGTCTCGGGGAATTTCATCATCCCTTCCTTCCCCTGTCATTAAAGTCACTTCTGTCACACCTGTGGGAGGGACCCTGGGAGACACCCTCCTCCCACTCCCAAAGAGCTCTGGGCTCTGCCACCCACCCTTCCTCCTCTCCCCTCTCCGCACCCCCCAGCCCTCTCCTGTGAGCCGGTGATCGGGGCTGGGAGGAAACCAGCGTTTGCCGCATTCACTTCGTACTTCCCGTTAACCAATTCGATTTTCTCTAAAAGCTTTTTAAAAAAATGAACCTGGGTTTTTTTCAAGTAACTTTTTAGCTTAGGACAGTTTCAGATTTACAGAAATATTGTGAAGATAGTTCAGAGATCAACTCACTTCTTAAACTTTATTTTAAAAGGAAACACTTTATTATTTCTGCAAATGGAAAACCAGCATGGCTTGCCTCAAATAGACTTTCATCTTAAAAATGAACAGTGAAAACAAGACAGTGTTATTATATTTTAAAAATTAAAGAATTAACAGCCTTATACAAATAGTAATAAATCTCATTGGTTACAAAAGTGCAGAGTTGGCTGGTGTGTGTGTGTGTGCACGCGCGCGTGCGTGTGGGCTAAGAGGAGGTAATTCAACCCGCTCCCGGTGCTGCCTCTCCCAGTGCTGGGCCATGTGGCTTTTTTCTCCATGCCCATGTTAATGACCCTGCTGAAAGCTGTCCAAGGAATGGGCCAGCCATGGGGCAGCCCACCAGAATGGAGCACCCACCTGCGTGGGCTCCATTCTGACGACTTACATATATTCCCATCACAGCCGCCCAGCCACCTGAAGGGACAGTAGGTACATCATTATCTGTATTTCTTAGGTGAAGAAATGGAGGCAGGTTAAGTAACTGGTTCAAGGCCACAGCCAGGAGTTACACCAAGGTAGCTGGACCCCAAAGCCTGCACTTTACCCACTGTGTTCTTCTGCCGAGAGCTGAAAAAGGGGGAACGGTCTTTGAATAGGAGTTCACCAGGGCTGTCTCCTCAGTTTTGTCTCCCCCAACCAACTTTGTACTCTGAAACTTCTCAGCTACACAGAAAAGTTGAAAATGTGCTCTTCCTTCAATTTCTGCCATGATTGTGAGGCCTCCCCAGCCATGTGGAACTGTGAGGCCCTTA